CTTTCAACCCCTATAGCGCAAAACGCCAGAGGGGTGAATGTTTGATATTTTCGGTTTTATGATCACCCACCCGCCCCTTATCATCCCTGAAAAGTTCATTTGGGTAGGAATTTTTTTTTTGCAATGCATGTATTTTTCGACTATTTTCCTAGACTAATAGTTAATGAACTGAATGAAGAAATGAACCTAACTGATAATAGTTTAGAATTTAATGAGGTATTATGTAATAACCAAATAACAAATGTTGAATTGACGAATTTCTGTGATGTTGAGGAAATTATACAGGAACTAAAAAAAAATCGGCACCGGGACACGATGGAATAACAACAAAAGATATAATTAGTTTAAAAAATTATATTCTAGAGATTTTAACGAAGTTAATAAATAATGTACTTGTTAGTTGCACTTTTCCGCCAGAATTAAAAATTAGTAAAATAAATCCTATATTTAAATCAGGAAAGGCGGATCTTATGAATAACTACAGACCTATCTCAGTTATTAGTATTTTTTCAAAAATTATAGAAAAAATCATTAAACGTAGGATGCTGCAATTTATTGGAAATAATATAGAAGTTGACAATTTTCAGTATGGTTTCATCAAGGGTAGTAACACACTATCAACTACATTCGATTTTGTAAATTATGTCTCAAAAAACCTTGACCAGAAAAATGTGGTAGTTGCAATATTTGTCGATTTGAGGAAGGCTTTTGACGTAGTTTCATTGGATAAAATGCTACATAAATTGGGTTTACTGGGATTTCAGGGTAATTTTTTATTGTTAATTGAGTCATATGTGAGGGATCGTTACCAATATGTTAAACTAAACAATACTCAAAGTGAAATGTTAACAAATAGATATGGGGTACCGCAGGGGTCAGTATTAGGACCTTTGCTTTATTCATTATATGTTTTAAATTTTAGACTAGCAAATCTCACAGCACATTATTTTACATTTGCTGATGATACGGCCCTTATCTACACAGGAAAAGAAGAAAGTCATTTGAAAAATCAAATAAACGAAGATTTAGATCGTTACCTTGAATGGTTGTATTCAAATAAATTGAAAATTAACTTAGATAAAACAAAATATTTAGTGTTTAGACAAAAAAATAAAATAGTTGGTAATATTGAGATTAAAATAAACAACGTCTCTCTTGAACAAGTTGAAAATATTAAATATTTAGGACTATTAATTGACGATCTCTTGCTCTGGAAACCCCACATTAATCACGTAATTGAAAAACTAAATGCAATGGTACCGATCTTATATAAATGTCGACAATATCTTACATATAATACAAAGATGAATGTATACAACTCATATTTTCTTTCCCATTTAAGATATCTAATTCCCTAATGGGGCATATGCGGTTCGACCAATTTAAATGATATTCAAGTTCAACAAAACAAAATTTTAAAGGTTCTTTTTAATTACAATATACTAACTAACACAGTATTTATATACACAACTAAATGTGTACAAAATAGAAATGTTACTTCAGCTTGAGCAGTGCAAACTGATGTACAAAATTATACATAAACAACAAAAATGCAACTCAGGGCTAGTTTTTCAGAATGAAATACATACTTACGGCACAAGATCAGAAAACAATGTTTATATTGGCAATAGCAGAATAAATATTGGTCTTCACTCCCCCATGCATTCTGCATCTAGGAGTTATAATAATTTACCTATTAATTTAAAAGAGTTACAAAACTTTAGTGAATTTCATAGGAAACTCAAAATGCACTTAGGTACTGATATACATAACTTAATAATAATATTTATTTTCATAGAAATATTTAAAAAAAAAAAAAAAATGTTTGTTAACTTTAGTTAGATTTAGCATCACCATTTTGTTATTAATATTATATTCTTGAGACCAGTGTTTTATACACTGATTTAAGATTATGTCTAATATGAATGTACTATAAAAAAAAATTGTGAATAAATGGTTAAAAAAAAAATAATAATAATTAATTTTATTACGTAAGGGTGAGTTGGCATATTATGCCAACTAGCCCGAAACATTAGTATGCCAACTCGACCGAAAACACTTTTTTAAAAATAAGATCGATTTACTCACAACCACAATAAAACATAGCAACGGTTATACCCTTTGAATGTTATACCCTAGAATTTTAAGGTTAGGATTACAAAATCGATTCCCATTTTTAAAATTTCAAAAAATATAGGGCAATCCAAACAAAATAGTGGTCAATGCATGGCCAATGTCAAAAAATTGGCGCCATAAATTTAATTCAAGCAATCGTGACATTTTTCATCAAAAAACTGTTTTTTGTGTATTTTGTGGTGCTTTTAGACGATTTTCTAGTGTTTGAGAGGATAATTTTCGTATTCTAAGATGGAAAGTTTTTAGTTTAAGAAATTATTAGTAGAAAAAAGGCATTGTCCTCCATTTTGAATTCCATTTTGACAAGTCGTTGGATTGCCCTATTAGGAGTTTTATGTTTTGTAGCAAATTATAAGAGTAAATTAAAAATTTCTTACCTTGAAAAAAACAATATTGGAATTACCGTCTTTGTTTATGACCGGAGGACACCACAAACACATTTGCCGGCTTGTATACAATGGGTTGACAAAAGGAGAAGGTTAATTGCGCCACAAACTTTTCAGAAGCCAAGAAAATACCAGTATGCCAACTCGTCCGGTATGCCAACTCAGGCACATTTCTCCTAAGTAATTTGTGGTTCTTTTGTCACAATCTAGTGTTATTAGGATGTGTATTGGGCGATACATCCAGATGAGAGATATTGCAGATAACGTTAAGTTGGTAAGTTTATATAACCTCTCATCAAATCATAGGCGCAAGGAGAAATAGTACATAACATAAAAGACATTATTATTGTTTCACTTGAGTAGTGTTTCTTTTTTAAAACCAGCAAGTTACTGATCAAACAAAAATGCCAATATGCTATAAATATCATCATATTCATTTGACTCATAGTGTCCAGATTCGTGTTCAGATGAAATAAAATTCAATGCTTTTTTTAGTTCTTCAATCACTTTGTTAAGAAATGTTAGGTAACTTTGAGGATTAGTCATCGATTCTGAACCTTCATTTTTAAAACGACAGAGTAAATTTTCTAGTTGAGACCATCTGGTTAATTTCATGTCTATTGGTGAAACCCATTTTAGGTCATTAAAAGAGAGTTCATTATTATTTAAAAAAACACTTATTTGCATATTTGAACCTACTGAAATCTGATTACCAATATTTACGCAGTTTGTTTGTGAAACCGAAGGAAAATCTAGCGTATAAAAAAAACATTAGAGTTTTTTACAATTTAAATATTCCAAGATTCATTTAAAATAATCTTATTTTTAAAATTTGAAGTCAAATCATCAAAGTTTATAATTAGGTCGGATTTTCAAAATCTTTATTTAATAGGTCACTTCGATCCTGCATTACCTTGGTTCTTTCAGCAGGACTTTTTCGGGGAACAGAGACTGTTTTTGACAAGTAATGTGGTAAATTTGGAAAAATACTAGGCCTTGCATTTAACTTTAGTCTAGTTTTAGTAGGTACCTTTTGCATTGATCCATCTGGCAAGCGATAATCATCCTCTCTAATAACGTCACTTTCTACAAGATGCTTAGCGCAAACCACAGAATATTTCGAGGGTGACCATGCCTGTCTAGGAATATTCCTAAGCCATTGGGCTGTAAGGTTTTCGTCCTTTGGAAAGGTAAAAACAGATACCCCTGGTTCTCCTGCATCAAGTTTTATAATTAGATTTGCACCCAGGCACACAACAAGGACTTGGCATGGTGAATTAATTAAATTGAGGAGACTACCAGGAAAATAATAATAATAATAAAAGTAACTAAATATCTAATAAGCAGGCAGCTAGGTACCTGTGCAACGCAATAACAAAACCCCCGCAAAATTAAAACGAATCGCAAAATTCCAAAATGTTGGGTACACTTACGGTAATTTCCAATGCTAATATTTGTTATTGTTTTCGAAAAATAACTAAAAAAATACCTACAAAATCAAAGCGAAACAAGAATCATTAAAACACACTTTTAATTTTGATCATTTTTTGAAAAGCACCACCACAAAATTTCAAGTTCATTCGCCGCCATTTACTTTGAAGAAAGCACTTTATAACACCGGCACTTTTCACCCGCGGATATTTCTGTTTTTACGCAATGTCTGCGAAAAAAAACTGTCCCGGTCACTTACAAATCTCACACAGGAAGACTTTTTACAGGTTTAGTCTTTCACTTAACAATATTTCCCTTCAAAAAGGATGATTTATTTACAAAAACACAACAGAGTAAAAGGTCCTTAAACGTAAATCATATGACTAAATGTGTCGATCGACCTGAAACCATAGTTGCTAGATTTCCTTGTTCACGGCTTGTTAAGTGGAGTCGGGCTGTGTATGTTCAATAGGAACCTAAACACTAACAGCTGTATGCAACATCCTCTTTTAACCTAAAAGCGCTTTTTAAAACTGGTCACCTCTAAAAATGTGTATTTTAAACCATACAAATTTTTAAAGGTACCAGTTTTAAAAAGCGCTTTCAAGTTAAAAGAGGATGTTGCATACAGCTGTAACTTTTGAAATACATCCCATCTTTATAATATTTGTTTAGGGTTTACATGTCTCTCAAAATAAGTGTAGGTACTGGAGTATAATGTCAGTCGTTACCCAATGATAATTCTAATAAAGAAGAAACTCCTTCGAATTCGATAAAGTTTTGTATGCACCATGTCAGTAAAGTGTCTTTATCGAAATCGCCTCTCTCTCTTCGCTTGCTCCACTCATAATTTCATTTCAAATTCGTTCGATAAAGAATCACTTTACTGCCTTAGCCTTGGTACATAAATAAAATTACACATAATTAACCAGAACGTACTGGAACAATATTTGTTCGGTTCGTTCCCGTGCGCGAAGAATACTCAAGTTAGTCCTAAATTATTGAATTTCGACTAAATACGTACCCATTTATCTAATATTATTTTAGTTTTCATGAAGTCTCTTATTACGATGTTCCCGCTTATATGGACCATATTAGAAATGTAACAGGTAATGAAAAAATATCCTACGTTGGTCACTCAATGGGAGCATTAGTTTTTCTCGCATTTGCTGCAACTCGGCCTGAATATCTAAAAAGAATAGATTCGGCACACGCCTGGGCACCAGTAGTTTATAACAAGTATGCCCGAACATTAGAAGATGAAAGATCCTGGCAAGAGGTAAGGGTATGTATCTTAATTTTCATTGCCATTAGGCACGAAAAATCCAATATTATTATTAATTGCAGGACGAGCAGATTCGCAAAGGAGGAGTTAAAGGGGATAATGAATGGAGCCAACTCAGAATGTGGCTGGCAATTATTTTTTGTAACGAAAAGTCGCCATTCCTAGAAAATTGTACAGGCATTCATGATCGCTTTGGACCTGATCGTAGTCAAGTAGACAAGGTTTGTACCTAAAATATTTTTTCTACTGACGTTTCATAATAGCAACTTTTCGATTGTCATTTCAGTTTTGAAACGACATTCTTTTAGGCACTGAGTGCGTGAAAGTTACTTTTAGGCACTCAGTGCGTAAAAGTGACTTTTGAATGCGTAAAAGTGACTTATGAGTGTGTAAAAGTAATTTTTAAGCACTAGTGCCTAAAAGTGTCATTCATTATTCAGAAATAAAAAACACACTGAACACATATTTGAATTTTGTTTTGTATTTATTATGAATATTGAAAATGGAATTACTGAATTGAACGTTTGGGTTACTCAAAACAGAACTTTGTGTTATTACCTACTTTCTAGGATTTTAATTATTGATGTCGAATTTTGAAAAGAAAATCGCATGAAAAGTGTCAGGTGTCAAGTAAAAGCAGGTAACAAAGATTTTGGGTGTAATCGACTTATTCACATGAAATAAAATTGTGTTTTTTTATTATAAAATGCCAGTAGAAAAAATCTTGTATACAATACGTTACGAAACGATGTCTTTTAGTCACTCGACGTGTTGTCCAACTCGGCTTTGCCTCGTTGGACAATTTTCACGTCGCGTGCCTAAAAGACGCTCATTTCGTAACTTATTGTATAAATAGCTATTTCAACACTTGCGAGATTACTTTTGAATAATAAAAGGAACCTACCGAAATTGAAAAAAAAAAACTTAACATTTTTTCCTTTTTCAGCCTAAACTTCTTGTTCATATGACAAACGAGCCATCTGGAAGCTCTTTCAAAACCTACTTACATTTTCTTCAAATGCACAAGGCAGGTACGTTATTCAAATATTATACAGGGTGTCACGAAAGGTTTGTACAAACTTCTAGGGATGGTAGATCTCGTAAAAATAAAACTTTTTTTTAATAAACATGTGTCCGGAAATGCTTCGTTTTCCAGATATACAGGGTAGCCCAAATTTCAGCCTCATCATTGGGATCTCGGTAACCGTAAGAGATACGGGGTCGGTTAAATAATGGCAAAGTTACGCAGTTTTATGACCAATGGAATGCCGTTTTGAAACTAGAAAGATTCCGAATACTTCCGGAGATATTCGAAAAAAAACAAAATTTTGTAAAATCGTTTTTATTTTTTCCCGGGCTTATTTGAAAAGCAATTTTAAAATAAACGTCACTTCATCATTATCACTTTTTCCCCTTTAGGTCCAGTTGTACAATCTTGGTTCACAACAGAGTTCAGCTAAACTCGACTGGTACTTGAACTTTCCCATTTGAAATGCGTTGCTGTCAAAATTGATAGAATTTGATTATTGGCTGACAGCAATGTATTTTAAATGGGAAAGCTCAAGTACCAGTCGAGTTTAGTTAAACTTTGTTTTGAACCGAGATTGTATAACTGGGCCTTAGAAGATGGTGCTACTAAATTTAAAATTCGACGTTTCGTCTTCAGGCGGCTATTCCTTTTTTTAAATACGGACCTGAATTTTTTATTTGCGATTTTGTCATCTTTGCGCATCCTAAAACCGACACTGTTTATAATTTTTCAATAACACAGCAAAAAAAGCAGGTCCATATTAAAAAAAAAAAAAATTCATGATGATTTCAGAGGAACGAAACGCTGGATTTTAAATTTAATACCGCCATCTTGTAGAGAAGAAAAAGTGACAATGGCAAGGTGAAATTAGTTTTTCACAATCTTTTTAAATAAAATCAGGAAAAAATGAAAACTATACGAAAAAAACATGAATTTCTCATTTTTCTTAAATTTTTTCCTGATTTCATTTAAAAAGATTTTGAAAAGCTTATTTCACATTCCCATTGTCACTTTCTCTTCTTTACAAGATGGCAGTATTAAATTTGAAATCCAACGTTTCGTTCCTCTGGAATCATCATCAATTTTTTTTTTTTTCAAATACGGACCTGCTTTTTTACCGTGTTATTGAAAAATTATAAACAGTATCGGTTTTAGGATGCCCAAAGATGACAAAATCGCAAATAAAAAAATCTAGGTTCGTATTTAAAAAACGTAAGTTAAGGATGGCCGCCTGAAGACGAAACGTCGAATTTTAAATTTAGTACCACCACCTACTAGAGGGGAAGAAGTGACAATGATGAAGTGACATTTATTTTAAAATTGCTTTTCAAATAAGCCCGGGAAAAAATAAAAACGATTTTAAAAAATTTTGGTTTTTTCCGAATATCTCCGGAAGTATTCGGAATCTTTCTAGTTTCAAAACGGTATTCTATTGGTCATAAAATTGCGCAACTTTGCCATAATTTAACCAACCCCGTATCTCTTACGGTTACCGAGATACCAATGATGAGGCTCAAATTCGGGCCACCCTGTATATCTGGAAAACGAAGCATTTCCGGACACATGTTTATTAAGAAAAAAGTTTTATTTTTACGAGATCTACCATCCCTAGTAGTTTGTAACAAACCTTCCGTGACACCCATAGGTACCTACTTGTTAAAACAAAAAGAAAAACATGGATTTCATAGAATTTTTAAGAATATGCAAATACTAAAATAAAATTATTGTTTCAGATAGGTTTCAATTCTATGACTACGAATTATTTGAAAATTTGAAAAGGTATGGTCGATTTAAACCTCCGCTTTATAATTTAAGATCTATATCTGGCAAAGTACCAATTATCATTAGCTATGGACTCAATGACTATTATGGAGGACCAGAGGTAAGTTTTCAATATTTTGTACTTATGTAAACTAGTTATGTAAGATTAGGATAATTTTGCAATCACGAGTCAAGGCCGAAGACTTGGAGACTGATTGTCAAATATTTTTCGCCCAGAAACTTATAAGATGTTGGGTTGGCGAACGGTGACTTATTTAATTCCTGGATAGTGACAAAATTTATGTGGGTCCTATTTGCAAGTAGTAATAATAAAACAACTAAAAGATTTGTGTAACATTTTTTATCAAAATAAAAAGTAGGTATATTTCCTCTCTACTCAGTTGACCAGCCTTTTGCTGACTATTGAATCTGTTCCTCTTTATACATGTTTTTTCAATGCAGACCAGTTTAAAATTCTTTTCTTTTCTTTATGCAATTGATATTTATCTACACTCACCTATTACTATAGTACCTACTTACATAGTTTCAGTTTTCATTTAAACCAACTTTTCACTCTTTATATTTGAAACTATCGCCTGACGCGAGCTGACTTCAACAACGATCAGTCGATTGTGATTTCCCTACTGACCTATCCAATCCTTTTCACTTTCCCCTTGATGGACTCACATATTTTATATAGTTTTGTTGGCCCACATTCCCTCTCTAATTTCCTCCAATTCACTTGTACAGCGTCTTTCCCCATATATTGACCCCTCCCCTCAAGGAGAGGAGTTATATATGAAGAGATATTAAAAAAATTGTAAAAACAAAAGTTTTGGTGTTTTACCTGAAATTCTTGAATTTGATGTCAATAACTTTTTTGTTCTTTTAAAAATGTTAAACTTTGAAAGATGGTGTTAAATCTACATTTTATTAAAGCCCTCACTGTTCAATCTACATTTCAATAACCATAACAATATTTTTAAACTCCAAAAAACAACCAAAAAAAAAAAAAAACATTATGCACGCCGAGCACCGCCTTCCTCTCGTTGCCTTCCACGTCGACCGACTGACTGACTGATGACAGTTCTCTGATAAGGAAGCAGCGTAAACAGCTGACTCCAGTGGCGGAGCAAGTCGTTGCGTCTTACAGTCGGCCATAGCTACCTTTCTTGACGTCCTCGTCAATCTATCAGAACAAATACACAATATTAGTGATGTCGTGTTTGAACCAGGTTTCGGATTTTCAATGAAGGACAATCTTATAGCAATTTAATACAAATAACCTAAAACTATTGAGTGGACGAAACAAGTTATAACGAACAACTTATGTCCTACGATTATCAAGCAACTGCCTCAAATCAACTGAACGATTTTCTACATTGCTGGAAGCGTAATGCAGTAATAAGTTTTTATCACACGCCTTTATTATTGGCTCTGAAGCTGGAGCTACAACTCACACGCAATACTCTTGAAAATCTGTTCTTTGACTTTTAGGTAGGTAACTTCTTTGTTTACAGATAAAACTTTTTTCTCTTTGACCACTTCGGCTTTTCGTGTTCTTCCTTCAATTGTATAAGTTTGCTTTTTAGCATTCGATTTTAAGGAAGTTTGTGACATCAGAAACGTTTTCTGCTGGAAGAACGTGTTCTTCATGGTTTATAAATGTTATTAGTGAGATGCATCTCTTTTGGGGAACTTTTCCCACCATCCGTGCGCGCGCATTGTATTTCTACAGAGAAATCTTCTTCTCACTTGTTGAATCAACTTTTGATTCAAGGGGAACTTTTCTCTCGGAAGAAACGTTTTCCTCCTCAAAAAGTGGCCTTTTGGGAACTTTTTCCAATGAAGAAACGTTTTCTTCATGAACACGTTGTTCTGGGAAATCTTTCCCTTTTGTAGAAACGTTTTATTCATGAATACGTTGTTCCGGGGAATATTTTCCTTTAAAAGAAACGTTCTCGGGAGTCGTTTCCCTGTGAAGATACTTTTTCTTCATAAACAAGTTGTCTATAGGAAACGTTTTCCCCATCCTCCGATTCGGAATCTTGTGTATCAGTGTCTAGTCTGATATTAAATAGCTTCAAACGATCTATAGCACATATTTCTTTTGACATCTCTTTGAGCCGGGCAAATCGTCTATCACATATCGATCTCTGCCTAAATCAGCTGTGACAATATAAGGTCCATCATACTTTGCTAAAAGCTTTCTACTCTGCCCTTCATTTGATGCCACTTTTCGTCTCATCATAACTTGTCCAATTTCATATTTGCGGTTCTTTAATCTATTTGAATCATATCTTTCTTTTTGTTTCGCTTGATCTTGATCGATAGCAGCTTTCGCTTGAACCCTCCGTTTCTGTAATTCTTTTACTCTATCATCATTTGCTATTGCATCATCATTATCCAAACATTAATTCGTGATGACTTTTTCCAGTAGGTAGTTTTCGAAAAATTGAAATTTATTCCAAACTTTATTCTTGTCAAAGTCTAGTCCCATTTCCGTTCATCATCTGTCATTGATCTTATTTCTGTTAGCAAAGTTTTATTATATCTTTGGACTTGTCCATTCGCACGAGGTGTTCCTGTAGCATTTTGAACTAATTTGATATAGAACTTTTTAGTGTATTCCTTAAAAGTTTTACTAGAATAGCAAGTTCTTTGATCACAAATTATTATTCGTGTTGGTATTCCGAAGGTGTCACTTATTTCTTCCATGAATTTTATCAAAGGACCCACTTTGGTATTTGGAAGTTCTTTGGTGAACAAGTACTTCGTAAAAAAATCTACTGCCGCAATCAGGTATGAATTTCCTTTGCAACTTTTTACAAACTGACCTAAATGATCCAGATGTAATGTGTCCATCGCAGTAGCAATTTTCTCTATTGGATGCAGAACACCAGTCAACAGGGTCGTATTTTCGAAACCATTCGAATGCCGTTCGTATACGAAATGAGGCGAAATTCGCATGAAAATTGAGGTTCCGTATTTTCGAATCACTTTCGTACATGATTTGGTTCGTGTACGTTTACTCGAGTGGGTCTCTACCAGTCGAATGTCATATTTCGCATGCGATTTTACTTGATTCTGCGTATTGTTTGGAATTTTGAAGTACCTACTTATTATTTTGTTTATATACGTTATATTTGTTGTCCATGTACCTAAATAAGTTGTGCACATTAAAAATTGTGTTCGTTGTCCTCCTTTTGACTTTTCATTCGTTTCCAAATAATTTGTGGATTAAATTGTCCTACTTTATTAAAAGGCAGTTTTTGGAATGGCTGGCTTGGCTTGGATTATTTAATCGAAAGAAATGTTATTGATGCCCTCTAAGAAGCGGAAGTACTGGCAGATTGTAGGGATAGGGTATTACATCCCTTTCTTGATCCGCAGGAACCACTTGGATAAAACTTTTTGAGGTATAAAAAAACTAAACTAATAAGTTACCTATGCAGCAATACTTTCAAGTGAGACTGTAGTAGATACAATTAAGCCAGTATACAACATAAATATTGCAGTTTTAGTTTAACGGAATTATCCGTCTTTTTGGTAAAAACGAGGGTGATAATAAGAACTTTCCTGTTTTTTCTATAGGTATTCGTCTCCCAACAACAAAATCGTAGGTTGGGGAGTGGCAAAAAACACAAAATTCTCTACGATGTTTCGTAACTATATATTGTTACTTTTTCAAGCACTGAATAATTAGTGTTTCTGTTAGCGTTAATAAACAATTTCCATGGGTAATCCAGGAAGTCTCAAACATTTTCACAAACGCAAGCTGAAAGTCTCGTTTTTTCTTTTTTTTTTTTGGTACGTGTGGTTAACACGTTATTCATGGAATCATGGATAATACTGCTTTTAGGCATTTGTTAAGTATGCTAGAAGTGCACCTACAAAAAAAAAAGATACGTTAATGGAGAGAATCAAACCCTCTCGAAGAGCGTTTAGCTGCTACTCTTTAGATTTTTGGCCACTGGCACTAGTAACTCGGCTCGTCACACTAACAGAGATATTTTTACGGCATATTTGGCTCGGTAGCAAGTGGAAACGAGTAATATTTGTAGGATGAGATTCGTCGCATCACACTAACCGATTTCTTTAAACGTCGTATTAGGCTCGTGCCATAACAATACAGGACAAATCAAATTTGCACGATAAAACTAGGCTCGTGTCATATTGTCAACTACTTAAGTAAATACCACTCTGTACATCAATTTCACTAAAGTGTGTCGACGAATCAGCATTAATTTGGTATAAATACCGCGTCGAAATCCATTACCGGCAGACTAAGGCTAGTGCAAACTACCTCTAATGGGAAAAGCCCCTCTAGCTAAGTCTCCTCCCAGTGCAAACTACCTTTAATGAGAAACGCCCTTCTGGGAGTATTGAACGCCGCAGACTAGGTCCAGTGCAAACTACCTTTAATGGGAAACGCCCTTCTGGGAGTATTGAACGCCGCAGACTAGGTCCAGTGCAAACTACCTTTAATGGGAAACGCCCTTCTAGGAGTATTGAACGCCGCAGACTAGGTTCAGTGCAAACTAACTTTAATGGGAAACGCCCTTCTTGACCTGTCTCAAAGCCAGCTTTAGTCTTCAGTCACGCCAAATGTACAGAGGGTAGGTACATAATATAGAGTGGCCCATAAGTAGTACGTTCCTCCGTAGAAGAGACGTCATGATACCATTTCTAGGGTAATACTATTATTATTCAATACACATCTTATTATACCTATACCAAGCGAGTTTTTCTCTACCTGAACTCCACCTACGCCCCCAAGTCACGCTCCTGTTGTGACGTCCCAGGACGAAACGTATAGGGGTTGTGACAATATCAAATTGGTCGAGTCATCCGCTGGTGTATGGCATATATGCACAAAATAGGTGCACAAAGTTTATTTCATAAACTCAATGGCTAAACCCAGTAGACAGCCAAATGTCAAAAAATCCTTCTTCGTTTTTGTATCGGTCGAAATGGTTTTCACCAAATACTCGAATTTGTGACGTTTACAACGCAAACGATACTCGTAAACGATATCATTTTCGAAGCGCCTTCAAAATTACGCATTTTAGTTCGTACACGACTTTTTTCATTCGAATTAGATCGCATGCGAAAGAATTC